TTCTAAAACAGCTTACTGGCATCTCACAGGCATGGGAAAGCTGGCACGAAGTGTGCAAGGGTGTGAACATTTCTGTGTTAGGATGAAATGGGTTTGTATATGCCTGGTTTTCAATGTTAACTATAAAGGCAGATTCAAATAAGCTCAGATGTAAATGCCTTAAGTTAAGTGGTTCTTATAGTGGTTTAATTCAAGACACTTCTGGTTTTGAATGGAGTGAGCAATGTTACACAGTCCTTAGTTCAACCTAGTAATGACTGGTGTTCTTTATACTACGTGCTTGTTTCTTGTACAGTAGACAAGACATTCTTCATATTTTGAGAAATGCTAACATGTTTTAAACTGTGCCTGTTAAATTCCTTTAAAGCAAGGCTTGATTCTGTGAAACTGTCTGGATGACTTAAATGATTTTGTGTGCATCTAAAATGCTAGAAACTTTGGTAACTTTCTTCCTATCTAGGACTGATTTAATCACATCTCTGTAAATGGGTCCAATTACAGAGGGTCCAATCTTTAAGGGTCCAATCTTTAACATGGGGCTGAAAGGAGCTATTTTCTCTGTCCTCCCATTGATAACATCCTGCTGCCTCCCTTATGTTAGCACAAGCACTTTATGGTAAGCTGTTCTATCTTTCTAAATTAACATAACTGCTGATAGAGATAACTAACAGGAATCCTATGTATTTAAAAAGTCACCAAAATTATTTTAAATAAGACTGCTATGTCAGTTCAGGAGTTAGGCTGTTACAACTGTGAATATGCACAGATAAAAATGATGGCGCATGAACATGTAGTCAGATTTTCCCCACAGGTTCTTTTTGAGCTATTTGCAGAAAGGAAATATCACCTGTGTTTTCTTCCCTCTTACAGTGCTTCTTACCACGCAGTTTTTCCAAAGCTAACACTTACTTCATCCCACCAGATAATCAGTATTTGTTGTCTTGTACAGACTGGAACTTGAAGCACTGAGGTTAAAGTCTACCCATTCATTTACCTTGAATGCTTATTTTAAATTACACGTGTATTACATCAGTTAATACAAGAATTTAAAGAACAGTAAACGTTCTGGGATGTGTGTGCTCAGTTGTGAGCCACATTTTAGGTACATCAGAGCCTGGTAGAATCCACAAATATGAATGTGTCCTTGTGCAATACAAAAGCAAAGATGGATGTCTCAGACTACAACCCAGAAGAGACAGCCTCTTTAAATCACCTTCAAACTTACTTCTTCACAGTCTTTTTAAACTTATATTGAAATCTCATTTCATTTTTGTAAGGGTGGTAGATTAAATTTAAAAAAAATTACTTCTGATGGTCATAACCTCATGAAAATTTAGACACATTTGAATATTGCAGATGGAGATTCTAAGACCAAAGCTGGTTTTCTGTTGGTGTTGTTATCTCTTTACCCTGTTCAGATGCAGGGTGACTGTTTTTAACTTGAATAAAGTAACATGAAGTCATTAAGCCAGTAATGCAAGATCATATAACACCTATGTGGCAGATAGGCACTGCTTCTTCCAGTGCCAGACATACTGTTCCTGACTAAAATCATCGTATTGGTATTAACAGCATAATTCTCTCTTCCTGCTGACAAAAAACACTTGCACGGGATTAGCTGTTCCACATCACTGTGGAAACCATGGAGGACTGATTCAGGCAGTCATTTTGCAGTTAGTGTAATGTGGGTTATAAAGTAGTGATGGCTTTGTCATCCCTTCCTGTCATTAGGGCTTCATTACATGTTTTCAAGTGACCCAAGAAGTGTCAAATTCTACTTAAGCAAATGACCAGAAAATCATCTGGTAGAAAAAAAAGGAAAAAATAAATTATTATCTGTTTTTAATTGATGTGTATAAACATCTTATACACTTGAAAAGGAACAGAGTGCTATTACTTCTAAGTTCAAAATAAATTTTCTTTCTTTTAGTAAGCTCTCAAGAGAGCACTTTCAGTCATGACTGTTAGTTTCCTTTGTCAAACCTGGCACTTCAGAGCTGAATTGTTTCCAAGGAAAGCACTGCTGCAAGACACAGAAAGCAGTCAAGAGACCAGTGCTGAAGGGCAGAACTAGGCTCTTTGCATCTCCCACACCGAGTTTACCCTCTGAGCAATACTCCAAAGCCTGGGTGTCAGACAAAGCCATTGCATCCCTTACAGACTGTGTGCCTAGCTCTTTCCCATTCCCTGTCACGAGAAATGCATTGATTTTGTGTGATGGAAGTTTAAAGCAATTGATGTACTGCTTGACGGCTGAAGTATAAATGTTTTCACAGCAAAAATTGTCCATTGCTATGATCTGTGTTATTATTGCAAGCAGTAGCTTCAGAGCATTTTTGTATGAACGTGGCATCGCACGTGGAGCTGCGTGTTTTGCATGGTTGAGCAGTTCTTTTAACGTTTTCAATCTGCTCTTAAAAGTGTTGACTAGGAACTGATCTGAAGAACTGGAAAGAAAGTAATCTGCTCTTGTGGATCTCAGAAATGGCCACTTAAAAGAGATCCTTGCTCCCAGGAATTGCCACATACAGAACTCAGAATCTATCCCCACTCCTGGAGTCTGACCCAAAGTAAAATAGGAAATCTTAACATGCAACTTTACTGCAGACTTAGGTAACTGTTTAAAAAATGTAACATTTCATCTGTCCTTCTAGTTACACCAGAACCTTTGATTATTGAGAGATACCGATCTACAGAGCATCTCTTGTAAAAGTTACTGTCTCAGAACGTGTATCTTCAACACCTGTATCATCTACATGAAAACATCAGGTTTGGAAAGATAAATTTTGGTCAGAGGAAAAAAAGAATCAAGTTTGTACAGGAATTTCCCTGAAGCTGGGAAGTAATGCATACTGGGATCACATCACATGTAATATAACCTCTAGTATGATAAAATCATCTTCATCTTAGTCAAGTTAGTCCTGTTGTGGGACCAACAGCATGAATGAGGCAAATAGTTTTATATTTAAAAAGAATTGCAAATATATTTCTGATCCTTCATGATGAAGTCAAACCCTTTCGCATTTAATGTAACACTTGTATTAAGAACCTAGACCCTGTGTAGCTCCTGGAAAGAAAGAAGTTCTTAAGTTGGGTACATCAAATTGTCAGCACATACATAACAGGCAGATTTTTAATGATCTGTTTAATAGTTTGACCAAAAAAATGTTTTGACATAAATTTTTTTCATTTGGCTCTTTCCACAGAAAGCACATTAAGAAAAATGAAATCTGAAACATTTGTCGTCCTTTATATTTCATATAGCCAAGAATAAATAATTCTTTCCAGGTCTTGACTTCCATTTTAAAGGTCTCAGTCACCAAATTTTTAGAGTAATTCAAAGTTTGGGGTATATAGACCAAGTTTAAACTGCTGATTTCAGACATTGTCTTTATGTAAGTATCTTATCTTTCAGTGCTGGGCAGTCTGCATTACCCAGCTCCTCTGCTGAAGACAAGACAGCTGAAGTGGCTGCTTTGAATGCTTAAGATGGTCAGTGTTTATTTTCTAATACCTGTTACCACAACTTCATCTGTTTTATTGTGGCATGATCCCATTTTGGTTTAGGTCTCTAAAGGACAAACTTCCACAAAATGTCAGTGGCTCTAATTCTTTGTTATTTCAGTAGTGGCTGAAATGTTAGCTGGAAGTTATTCCTTTAATGCTTTCACCATTCATTCATCACTTTATTGCCTGTTTCACACCATGTAGCACAGTGGTTAGAAAGCACCAAATAATTTCATTTTTTTTAACACAGTAACTTCCAGATCTTTATCACTAGTCACGTTATGTTCAAATTAAGAAAATGCATTTTAAAGCTGCTTGTTTTCTCCTTTTATAGGATTTCAGAACAACTGTTTTATAGACGTTACTAAATAAGAAATTTAAGAAACTCTTTCAAAGTGAAATAAAGGCTTCATTTAAAACTTGGTAGCATGAAACTGAATAGCTGCATTTGCTATATAGCCAGATATACACTTTCCAATCCAGACTTCATGCTAGCCTAAACAAATGTACTGTTGCAGCTTTCCTGCAGGGTTACTTCAGCACTAACTGCAGCTGAGGGATGCAAGGGTTTAATTTGGCCTAAGGTGTTTAGACTAATAATTTAATAGCTTCCCTTACAAAATTAAAAGGGGATTGAAAAATATTCAAAATAGCATTCTGAATACTTGTGGCTTGACAGGTCTTATTTATGCTTTTTACATACATACTATGAAACCAGTATTATTGAAAATCTTAATATCACCATTAGGAGGCACAGCAGTGAAGGTATTTGACCCACAAGATTTTCCTCCTTTACTTTCCCTCTCTCCAAGAGCCTCAAGCCCTCCCACCCTCTCTGAAGCACAGCAGGCACTTCCCACAAGTGAGGCAGCAGCAGGTCACTCACACCCCAATTGCTGCTCCACAAAGCTTCCCTTATTTACTACTGAGTGTTGAGGGGGCCTGAGAACACTGGGCTATCATGTCCCTTTTGTGACTGGAGAATCAAGCAATGGCAGGATGCAGGAGCAGCACAGGACTTCTCTGTACCAGTATATTGAGGCAGTTATAGTTAAAAGAGATGGCTGTGCAGGCACAATGCTGGAACACAGCTTTGTCTAGCCCTGCAGGCTCTCTGAGCCTCTCCATTTAGTCCCGACACACAAAGAATATGCTCTGTTCACCTCTGCAATTCAGATGGGGCCCTCGACATCACCGATCTAACAAAGCCAAGAGGTTACCCCAGCCTAACAGTCTGTCTCAGCAGTATGCACAAGCAATCCTTGTTCCTTTTTGAACAAAAATTTTGGGAGACCTATTTGTGATCCCAAATTTAAATTCTACCCTCAGAATGTACAATGATGCCCATCAGAATCGCTTGGCTGGTTCCATTCATGCTTATTCATTGAGGTGGCCGGGTGCCCATTCACATGGTACCAGACTATTTTCACTGTGTTGAATTGCCAAGAAGAACAGGTTTAGAAGAATAATCTGCACAGTGTTCAAGCTCCTGCTCTTCTGGAGAAAGCTTTTTTTTTCCAGCACTTTATTAACACTACATATCTATTTAGTCTAAGAGCTTTTGACAAGTCACAGTTCTCAAAAAACATTGTTAGAAATTACAGACTGACCTTAGTCACAAAATGCTGCATTGCCCAAATGGCACAAGTAATAACATCAGAGGGATTTCAAAGAGACAATGACAAGCCTATCCTTTTTGTGAGATCCCCACCTTTATTTCACAAGGCTTTTGTAAGCACTGCAATCTGAAAAAGTAACCTACAATGCCTGAACAACAGGCTCCATCCCCAAAGGTGCAATGCAAACCCCCTCTCATATGGTAACAAAGAGCACCCCAAGTACAGCTCCCAGTAGATTCTATGTCTACTTCAGAACTATGAACTTCACTGCAGATTCTAGGACTGTAGCTGAATGGATTTATGGGCACATTAGTTGCAAGTGTTTCACAGCTACAGAAACAGCAATGCTGCCTGACTGCACTGGGGCAGTGACCAACAAGGTTTTCTCCACAATACATTATGCAGGTAGGAAAAGGGTAAATCATTTGCCTTGCAGTCAAGCTGTTGCACAATTCTAAGCTTAACTGGCATGATTAGCTTTTGCGCTTTTTCCTCATACCCGCTCTCAGTCTCACTACAAGGGGGAGAAGAAACTCCCCACACTTATTCTCAGGTTATTACTCAAAAAGAAACCTTGACCATTACAGCCACCAACAATGGCTTTCCTAGACTTCCTCAGAAACCACTGTGGCTTTCCTAAACTTTCATGAGGTCAGACTCAAGAAGACGTGCAGTTAGTTGTAAGCATACACACTGTCAGCCCAGACACCAGGACTTCTGTTCAGAAAAATTTAAGTAGAACATTCCAAACCAGTACAGTCATAAATGCAGGCACTGCAAATGTGTATATCACTGTAGAAAAGAGACCATCGCCAGATCAAGCAAACTCTGTACTCACTACACATGATAAAAACAAGAAAAAAAAGCTACAAGATCAACTTCGTTATAGATGAATATTTACCAACAGTTTTTATTGGTCTCAAAATGTATGTACACATGGACAGTTTCCACATTGACATACAATTTTCTACTTGCACAGAAGCTTGCTGAATTACAATGTGTTATTTTATCCATAATCATTCCTATAGGCTTTTTCTTGGATGCGTAACACCATTCTCCGAGCATAAAAATCCCTGTATTCCTCAGGTAGTTCTTCAAGTGTTTTCAAGGCCCTGTCCAAGATCTGTATAGCTCTAGAGGCTGCCATGGGATCTTTATTTCCATAAGTGTCTGTCTTATCATAGGATTCAGCAGGAAGGTGTTTCCAAAAGACATTCAGTGCCACTCCAAATTCCTCAGAAATTACATTGTGGAACCACAAAGCTGCAGAAAGAAGAATGTCTAAAATAAAAATTACTATCCAAAACTTCCATGTGACTCATAACAAGTGTCAGAATCGCCCAAACTAAACCTAGTTGAGGAAGAGCCTCAACTACCATATTTTTGTTTATTTATTAATATTCATTCCTGAATATATTGCATTGTACCAAAGTTAAGAAGTTCCTCAAGACGTTTACGTCAATCCATAACTTTGTATGAAAGCAACACTTGCTGAAGTATAGAGATACTCAAAGGTAAGCAAATGATAAGCATGTGTGGGATGAAGGTAAGACTTTGTCAGCAACCTGGAATGTGTATCACTGAAAAAAGATGCTTTTTGAGAAATGTGTGTGGTTATTATGGAGAAGTCAGGAGCAGCCCCTCTTCCGAACCTGCTAACACAGCAACAGTGTGACACACCATTATCTAAGTGTAACCAAAAGTTTCTTTAGGAAGAGAAACAAATGGTAAGTTCAAAACTAAGTAACAAGTCCGAGGCTAAGAAACTATTTTAAAATAACTTCCTAAAAACCTACTGCCTTTTTGTTTACTGACCTGTTTATATTGCCCAGATAATATAAAAGCGACAGAGTATCTGCCACAAACTCATGAAGAGTTAAAATCAGAAACAAGTAGGAGTAGTTCAATAGGAGTAATTCAAATGCTTTTCCCTGATTACCAGAATTTGTCATCTCAGCCCAGGAAGGAGCTTTCTGTTTTCTCCTTGTTCAGAAAAGTGATAAGGACTTGTCTTTCCACTCCCCAGAGAGGATTAGAAATTTCTAGAAGGTCCAGTAACTCTACCATCCAAAATTCTCATCAGAGCACATGCCTCACAGTGCCAGAGCTACAGAAGAACAGAAACGGTACTTTACTCAAATCTTGTCACTGGGAAACTCAAGTCACTGAAGTAATTTCAGATTTCACAAGGTGAGTTTATTATATTAATCTACTAAGACACAAATTCATAAGCACAAAGTTTAAACTTGAGGAACAGTAAGATTTGTAGGTAGATATAATAATAGCTTTTATCAAAGTAATTGTACAGTGGGAAGTAGAAAAGTTTTGCCAACACTTTTCACAGAACACTTAAACATAGAAATGCTTTAGTCACCTCTTACCATCTCTAGAAATGAAAATGCCACGTTCAGGAACCATTTGTTACTTACCTGGAATAAATAACACATCTCCAGCTTCCAGAAGACATTGATAGCGCTTGGCTTTCACAAAAAGGGGATATTTCTCCATGTCTGGGTTATCCACATCCAGTACCTCTGATTTAGTACCTAGGAAAATTTTCAGTGAATAAATATTCCTACTCTTCCAACAGTAACAAAGCATCATCACATTGCTGGAAATGGCAGTTCTTGAATCAAATTTAATACTGGTTTATTGTGCTGTAAGTCTTCTAAAAAACAGGGAAACCTGATGGCAGTGTTGTCTACATTTGTCTTGTGACTGCAACCTTATTAACATTAAAAAACACTTCTCCTGACATTTAAAACACTATTTTGAGCCCAGACAGAACACTGTACTCCTCCAGTTACCTGCTGAAAACAATCACACAAAGCTGCTGTTCTCAGCTTTAACTAAAGCCAACGGGATTAGAGTTAAGGGAACAAATTACTTTTTTTATATCAAGTCCTTTGTTAGTGACTGTTTTCTACAGTGCAACACCTGTGAGCCACAAGGCAGCAAAGATCACCAAACTCTGACCTAGATACCTATGACATGCATACCTGATAAATATAAATATGGTGCATCTCGAGGACTGTACAAAACAACTCGTTTTTTCCCTGTGACTTGGATTAAGAAGTTATCCATTACCTGGAATAAGCATAATAAGAGAGATGTCAGCCAAAAGTTAAGAGTGATTATATAGGATTAAGCTAATTAATTATTAGCTTAAAAGAGGGAATTATTAAAACCTTCCCATGTTAAGAGTTAGCTACAAGAGCTTCCACATACGGTTAATTAAAAAAACTTAAAATTTTGAGTAACTTTATCCCCTTGACTGCACATTCTTGACAAATAGTGTGTCTGGAGACACAGTATTGCTTTCCAACTATCTTGTGTTTTTCCTGAAACAAAGAATCAAGTTCTTCCATCTTAAAACACAAAGCCATACCATACTTTAGACACATAAACCACCAAGATGTAATACAAAATATATTATGGATTCCTTTTCTCTTTCAATGTTACCCTTACTTCATTTTTTTGACTGACTTTCTATTGATAAGGATCCTTTTTCCTAATTATAAGGCAAAACCTATTTTTCTTATGAGTAAATTTATTCAGAATTCACTGCACAATGTTATAAGAAAATCTTGTTTGGAATCTATCGCATTGCAGCCACAAATTACTACAATCATTGTACAACTGGCAATGTGTTATACAATTGCATTTTATTCTAATATGGCCATTAGAATAAAAAAAAAAAAAGAATGTAATGTTGAAGACAAAAACATTGAAAGTTACTGTGTTTCAGATTTTTAACTGAAACTCAAAACAGTAAAAAAAAGAACACAATAAAACGTCATTTAATCTCACAAATATGGAATTAGACATAAACCCAGTCAAGATATTATGCCCACGCAATACATCTATTTAAAATTCACTGTACCACTGAATGTGATTCATTTCACTATTTCAAAATATGTGAAGTCTGTTATGATTCTCTGATCTTTGTCAGAGATTTGCACCTTATTATCTCAACTCTGTAATGCCATCTGCAACATTTTATGCTAAACCCGTGTATTACCTACATCATAATGTGTCCATAACTGTAATCCAGCTGAGCTGATGCGGAAGACACTAGAGAAGAACTGTTCCTTCTCAAAATACTCTGGAATTTGAACATCTTTTGCCAAAACAGGAAACTGCTTCCTGATATCTGCAATGTCCTGAAACAGAAAGACAATAACTCTTAGAGAACCACATATGCACATTTAAATGAGGGAGCACTTCACTGTCTTTTCCCATCATATGAAACATGGGGCTGGAACTTCAGCATTGGTGAATACCTGAACACAGCAACGTTCTTCAGCAATGACTTGCTCAATGACACTAACAAGAACAGCCAGAGAGCTGCTTTGAACTGCTAGAAATCACACTGAAGAAGCAAGAGATCAGCAGAAATCCTTTTATATTAGTTTACAACAAAAGCTAAAGAAAGGGAGGTTAGCCATGTATTCTTCAGTGATCAGCTAAGCTCTCATATAACAGCAACTAGTTCAGACACTTAGATTTAAATATTCTGACTTAAATCCAGTCAGATTCACAAACCAAGTGACCCTAAGTAAGTTGTGTGTCTGTGTTACAGACTCAGCAGATGACAATGGGCTTTAAAAAAATATTCCTAAACTGCAACTTTACAATATAGGAACTGTAATCTCAAATAACTCACCTTCCTAGCATCTTCACCCACTGATCGCAAATAGTACTTTTCATCCTGAAGAGAACACAAAAAGAGAATTGGTTTTGGTATTTTAGTAAGAAATGCAAACACTTAAACAAAGAGCCTGTATTTTCTCATTAATTAATGCAGAGCTTCATTAAAATATGGTACAAATAAATGGCATCTACAAATTTAGCTGCTTTGTTATACTGCCTTTACTCTACTGATCCCTACTGTTCATCTCAAGAAATGGGAAAATACATTAACTGAGAGCAGAAGAGTAAAAGGGGGGAGACTTGTCAACTGCTTCAGCATTGCTGTTACTGAACAGCCTCAAAGCAAATGCAGATTATATTTTAAGTTCCTCAGAACACTGATGCAGGCAGCTATTTTAATTGGCTTCAAAACTTACAGCATTCTATGTAGCACAGAAGGTAAAAAGCATGTCTACATTCAAAACTGTTTGCTTCCTAATCACAGCTACCTGAAAAATCCCTAGCTTGAACATTGATATGTAAAGATAGCCACACATGTGCTACTTACAAATCACGTCACAAAAAAATCTGGATTTGTATTTTGATAGCAGATGTAATCAAACTCTAAAATATCTTCATGACATTTTCTTGTGAAACACGCAAATGATACAGTTGTTATTTTAAAACAAGGTTTGATTTCTAAATTTTAGACTGGAATTTTTACTCATGTATGCAGTTTTTGTTAACAGAAACTGGCTGGTTGAAGTTAACCACACCATGCACATACAAAACAACTCACATTTTTTCCCTTGGCTCCAAGCCACTAAAAAGTTACATCTAAGATCAAGTAAACTTTTAAATTACAATTCATCCTTTTCCTTTCCATATACTGGCAAAATAACTGACAGAAGAAACTGTGACACCAAAGAAATTACCTCAGAAAGAAAGTACTCCTGGTGGTTGACTTCAGCTGCTCTTCGTACAAATACATCAAAAGGCAGAGTTCTGGAATATAAATATCTAAATTTATACAATGAATCAATGTAACAACTCATGGTGTAAATGCTTGGTTTATAATAAGCTCCATGTAAAAGTAAGACCATGTAAAGTAAGACAAAAGATGGAATGTGCTGCTCTTTTACTTTTTTAACTTAACATGGTGACTAATCAGTGTTTGCAGCAGATATTTGAAGAGTTCTATTGAGATAGAAATCCTACACTTAAAAACTTCTCCACTTCAGTAAATTGTAAATATCCAAACAGAATCCTGTAATTGCTGAGGCTGGAAGGCACCTCTGGAGATCCTCCATTCCAACCCCCTTGCCAAAAGCAGGATCAACTACAGCAGCTTGCCCAGGACAGCATCCAGTGTGGTTTTACACATTTCCAAGGATGGACCCTCCATAAGCTCTCTAGGCAACCTGTTTCATTTGTTCCATTGTTTGACCACCCTTGCAGTAAAAGATGGGGGAAGTGTGTTCAATAGATTAACAGAATTTGCTGTATTTCATCTTGTGCCCATTGCCCCTTGTCCTGTCACCACGAACCAGGAGAAGAATAGAGCTCCATCTTTACTCCCTCCATCAACTATTTATACACTTTGGAAAGATCCCCTCTTGAGCTTAGGAGTTCTGAACGGTTTGAATCACAGCCGAAATTTCTTTCCAGTCAAATTAAGACTCAAACTGTGACCAAAGCCTGGCAATACTTGCTTAGACTGTTTCTGTAAGTGTGTAATTTTTAGACTTGTTTACTGTACATTTTCATAAATTTGCAGAAAAGTTCAGCATCAAGAAAACTACTGCAGGGAACATACACATGTTTATATCTATGCATTTTCTGCTAAGAATTTGTGCATGAACACAGATAACTTATCTTCATTTGTAGGTCTATAAAATTTATTTCAGTTATCTGAGGTTTTTTTAAATATGTGCTTCTCCAGCTAAGCAAAACACAGCATTTTTTATATCTTCAAGTGTTTCTTTAAACTTTTACTAAACCTAACTTAAGAAGATTCAAAAGGAATCACTGGGCATCAGAGCTGGTCCCTCTGAGGTCAATACAAGTGTTACATATTTATTTAGATAATGGAAGCTTTTCATACAGATTACAGATTTTGGTATCAGTTGACAGCTGAATGGCAAACCAAGCACAAGCAGTAATGGTACATGTTCACTGTTATGAATATTATGAGTTGAATGTTACATTTACTCATCTCAGCATCTCACATTACGTATTACTGGATAATAAATTATTGAATATAAATACCACATTTCAGAACAACCTCCCAGTACCCAAGGTAAAGAACAAACTACCCTCAAGCAAAATTTTTCTTGATCCTGTTATCCCTTCTACCAGAATGTGAACATTCATCAGACAGCACTTAGACCAATTCTCTAAACTTTAGGCTTCTTTGTAACAGGCAAATACAACCACTGAAGTCAATGGAAAACCAAACAAGAACCAATGCTCTGACTTCAGCTAGACTGTTGTATCATGCCCATTTACATTTGCTACTGAAGAAAGTGAGAGCACAGCTCCACGACAGCTTAAACTGATGCATGCTGGTGCTGCCACAGCTCTGTCCTTGCTGTCTACCCTTATCACCCCATCTCCTCCCCTGCAGCAGCACTGGCACTCATCTGACCTCACAGTGAACCTGCTTGCAAAGCTAAAACAGCAGAAAAACAGTCAGACTTCTGCAGCACATCACAACCTAGCTGAATGAGTTCCAGAACCAACACAAAGACAGGGGTAGGAGCATGCAACTTACAACAGGACTGCAGTACTACTCACATGCATCAGTTTAAACTCATGGAACTGCATGTTAAGTCCTCAGTGTTTCTGGTGTTTTGGTACTACTTATTCTCCCTTCAGATTAGAATGAGGGGCTTGCTATGGAAAGGGTCAAAGCTTCCTGAATTTCAAGTGAAGTAGGTGGAAGTCCTGACACTTGCCATACTGAAGCACCATCAGACTCCATATGGCTGTCTACAAACCTGCTAAAACTAGCACACCGGGTTAACTAGATGTGAACTCACAGTAAGAGAGATTAATTAAAAAAAAAACACAACAAAACAAAATAGAGCATGGAAAATAAAATACAGAGATAAGGCAAAGTCATTCAAGTACAACCTAACGTTTAAGATTCAAAAGTTCATTATGCAGGGAACAGAATGTACCATAATTGTTATGTGCTTTTTCCCCTAGAACAACAGGCTCCACTCAAAGACTTGTAGCTTGTTTACACTTATAGTGTATGCTTCCACCTGCTTAAAAGTTTAACAGACTGAACACATCCTGTTCCCACCTGGGGTAAACAAACAAGAGCTAAAATAAAGGCATTTGCCCTTGAAAACCAAGAGGAACTTCGGAGGAGAGCAAGATGTTTTGTGACCCGCATCAAGATTAAAGAGCTGGTGAAACATGTGGTATCCAGTAGTTCTAACATTCTGAGAACTGCACATCCTAACTTTGAAAGGAGCTTGGCTTTAATTAGCTACACCCCTCCTAGAGTGGAATACCCTGCCTGCCACACACCAGCATTCAAAGAGGTCCAGGCACATGTTGAGGCAGAAACTACCACTATTCAGTAACACTGAAAACAGACCATGTAAGTAGAATAAAATAGCATATCATCCAGTATCAAGGGTGTCTTGGTTTGCTTTTTTCATTAATGGCAGCAACTGCCAGGCTCAAATTTCTTAGAGGAATGCTCTGTCAAAATACCTTTATAACACTACTCCATGACATCTCTTTCAAGGTGCTGTTTGGGCCCTCATTTCACCCTCATAGTGTTAAATTCAGGGCATAAAGATATTTGTAGAACGAACAGAAGAGGGAGAAATCAAGGACAGCACTTCGATACATAATTTAATGTTTTCACTATCTTGATATTCTCACCCTCAGCTTCAGGCAGATGCACTGTATGTCTGCAAGTTACAAGCATGTGCCTTTAAAACACAAGAGGCCTTGGAGTGCAGTACCTATACACAAAGTTCTTACTGAGGAAATCCATCTGTGGCACTGTGGAAACATGAATCTTTACTTCTTTAGATCCTTCAGCTTGGCTCAAGTAATCTACTGTCCATTTGGTTGTGCAAGGGCCCAGTTCCATTCCTGTCAGAACTACTGGCTTTCTCTAAGGAACAAAACAAAAAGAAATGTCAATGGTGAAACGATCATAGCATCCAGTGGAAAAAATTCAGAATTAATTTTTCAAGGTATGTCCATGCAAACAAGTCAGTTGAATGCCAGGACCCACTACTCAAGGTCACAACTTATCTTTCACAAGCAATGTGAATCAGCAATTTTGCATGTTGAAACAAAATGCAGTAAATTATAGGACTGTGTCTCTATTAACTAAATCCTTTTTCCTAGTGGTGTAAGGAAAGATATGGAGAGGCAAAAACAATTTTAACCTGCACTTTGTGCTGGGGCCAACAAGGAATCTAGCCAGACTAAGAAACAGATTTAATCATTCTAGCCAGAGCTTAGCAGAAAAGTTGCAAAAGACCACAGAGCTAAGGTGCAGACTGTGAGCTGTGGTGGTGCTCTGTGTTCTCATAAGAGAAGCTCTTGCCAGCACTATACGGGTTCCTTGCTGCTGACAACCACGAACAGGTTTGATCCAGGGCACATAAAAAAAAATCAGCAGAAAGACACTTCTGCTTTGAATTGGGACCTCGGGAGGGGAAAAAAATGGAACAGAGACGACAAAGCAACAAAACCAGCGATCACACTTTTTCTAACCACTGCCAAAGGAAACGGACTCACAGAGATCGGCCGTCGGAGCTTGCCAGCAGCTCAGACAGGACTTGCCTGTAGAAGCTCCTTGCTCCCAAACTCCCACTCAACTCGCTGGATCACGGCACCTCTCCGGGAGCACAGAAACCCAAACCCCGCGGTTTGCCTGCACCAGATGTGCCCGTAGGGAGTCACCGGACAACTCCTGCCTTGCCCGGTGTCCCCGGGCAGCCCCAGCCCGCTCCGTACCCGCGGGTAGATGTCCCGCAGGAACCGCTCCCGCGTCACCCCGTCCAGCCGCTCCACCGCCACCGCCGGCTGCTCCCGCCGCTCCACGGCCGGCTGCTCCCGCCGCTCCAGCTCCAGCGCCTCCCGCTCCCGCCGCTCCATGACCGCCGGTGACCCGGGTCCGTCCCGCCGCTTCCCCCGGAAAGCAGAGCCCGCGCAGGAGCGTTCCCGGCTTCTCTCTCTGAGCAAGGGATGGGGGCCCGCGGGTCACAGAATCACGGAATTTTCGGGGTTGGAAGGGACCTGTGGAGATCATTTAGTCCAACCTCCTTGCCAAGGCAGGGTCACCGGAGCAGGTGGCACAGGAACCCGTCCAGGTGGGTTTTGAACGTCTCCAGACAGGGGGACTCCACAACCTCCTGGGCAGCCTGTTCCAGTTCTCTGCCACCCCCAGCGTAAGGAAGTTCTTCCTCATGTTGAGGCGAAACTTCTTGTGTGTTAGTTTGTGTTTAAGTTTATGGCCATTGCTCCTTGTCCTGTCACTGGGCACCACCGGAAAGTCCGGCACTATCCTCTCGGCACCCACCTTTGAGATATTTATATGCATTAATGAATCCCCTCTCAGTCTTCTGTAGACTAAACAAGCCCAGCTCACGCATTCTCTCCTCATATGAGAGATGGTCCAGACCCCTCATCGTCTTTGGCACCTCCGCTGGACCCTCTCCAGTAGGTCCTTGTCCCTCTAGTACCGAGGAGCCCAGGACCGGACACCGCACTCCAGCCGTGGTCTCGCTAGGGCCGAGCGGAGGGGACGCCCCCCTTCTCCGGAGGTGTCCCGCGGTGACGGGGTGACCGCAGCCCCCGCCCCAGCGCGGCCGGAGCCGCCGTTCGCCTCGGGAGGTCCCCGCGCGGCGCCGGAACCGGCGGCGGGCTCTGTTTCCGCGGGGCGGGGCAGGCCCAGCATGGCGCTGCGCTGCGCGGGCCCGGGCCGTGTCCGCTGGCTGGCGCGGGCACTGGCGGGCCCCGCTCGGCTCCTGCCGCCGCCCGCCGCCGCCTCGGCCCCGCTGGGGCCCGCCCGGCTCCCCCCGCCCCGGCCCAGCGCCCGGTTCGCCAGCACCGCCGGGCCCGGCCCCGAGGGCCCGCAGCGGCGCGTTGTGGTGGTGAGGATCACCAGCCCCATCGCCTGGCTCCGCACCCGCTTCTACTACCTGCTCATCCGCCTCTACTTCGATCAGGAGTTCAGCGTCGAGGAGTTCACGCGGGGGGCCAAGCAGGTGAGCGGGGCCCCGGGAGGGCAGAGCGGCCGGCCGGGGGGGAAAGGACCCGCTGAGCCTCCCCGGGGCCTGGCGGTGCCCGCGTTTTGTTTCATGGAATCACAGAATCCCTTAGGTTGGAAAAGAGCTCTGAGATCATCACAGAATGGGTCAGGGTAGAAGGGACCAAAGTGGATCATCTCGTCCAACCTCCCTCCTCTTGCAGGGTCATCCCAGAGCACCTTGCTCAGAATTGCGTCCAGACGGTCCTTGAATATCCCCAGTGAGGGAGACTCCACAACCTCTCCTGGCAGCCTGTTCCAGTGCTCAGTCACCTGTACAGTAAAGAAGTTCTTCCTCATGTTCTGGTGGAACTTCTGGGCATGAATTTCTGCCTGTTGCCTCTCGTCCTATTTCTTGGCACCACCAAGAAGAGCCTGGAACCATCCTCTTGGCACCCCCCTTTAGATATTTATGCACATTAATGAGGTCCCCTCTTGGTCATCTCTTCATGAGGCTGAACAAGCCTGATTCCATCAGCCTTTCCTTGTAAGAGATCCTTGAATCCATCCTCAGTGGGTCCATCCTCACTGTTGGACCCACTCCAGGAGCTCCATGTCTCTCTTGTGCATTGAATCCAACCTGTGACCGATCACAACCTTGTCAACTAGGCCATGGCACCAACTGACACATCCAGTCTTTCCCTGAACACCCCCAGGGACGGTGACTCCACCACCTCCCTGGGCAGCCCATTCCAATGTTTAACAACCCTTTCTGTGAAGAAATCTCTCCTGATGTCCAACCTGATGTCATGTGTGGATATTGTAGTACCTGCGTGCTCCAAAATGTAAAATAGATGGAGTTCCCCACTGCTGGCTCCAAGCACCACATTTGGGGGGGAGTGATATAAGCTAAGATGTGCTTTTCTTTAGGAATTCCTTGTTTTCTTTTCCCAGATTCCACAATTAAAATGAGCTGATTTAGCAATTCCCCAAAATAGCATGAAGGAAGATGCTTCCAAACATTACAGAGACTTTAAGGGGAAATGTATATCAGCAGGTTTTCCTGAAATGATAAAGCTTAGGGAGACACAAAGCTGGTGTATATGCTTGTTTCTCCAAATTTTGAACCAAGTAAGCTTTGTCAACAGAATGTGTCAAAGAGGTAATGATCTCAAAGCTCATCATGTAAAAATGACAGTTATCTGCTGTGAAACTTCCAGTTTTTATATTTACTTTGAACAGAAAAAACAAGCTCAAAACAACACATAATGTTAAAATGATTAATATCAATTCAAGAGAGAAAAAAACATCACAACCTGTACCAAATTATTTGCCATGTGTGCAGAACCCCCTGTTTTATCTTGTCCTGGTTTGGTTTGTTTTTACTTGCTGTGGAGTCCTAAACACAACGTCCTTTACAAGACCACTAATTGAATATATAGAGACATTATTGTATGTAAATATAGCTGCAAAATTGAGGGGGAAAAGGGGGGTTTGCTTCCTGAAGTTCAGACACTAAACCAGATTTCTAAAGAAAATTTCTAAATTGAAGCTTCAGTTTTAACTGAAACCAGAAGATGAGTTGAAAAAGAGGGCAGGGGAACAAAATATTTACAGGGAAAGACACAGACTGTTTGAATTATCAAAAAGAGTAAATACCGATACAGAGTACTGCAATGCTTTTTTTGTTTTAGTAAGCTATGCATTCTGTTACCTAATATGAAAAGATTTGATGCTTTAAATGAGAGATTGGAAAGAAACCTTACGATTTTATCTGTTCATGAAATCACTTTTTTAATGCTGGAGGGCTTACATTTCAATGGTGATACCCTCTGCAGATACTGAAATCTTAAATCATGGAATATTTGGGTACCTTGTCACGTAATGATGGATTAGTTTGAAAAATAAGCCAACCTAGTGTTACTTGTTCATGTATATACTTTTTTTTTTGGTAGGCCTTTTCTGTTGTTTCAAAGCTGCTGTCTCAGCGTAAACTTGACCTGCTGGATGAACTTGTGTCACCAGAGGTAAGTGCTTTCCATCTCCTGTTCTAGCAACTGATTTTCCATTGTGAAGTAACATGCATTTGGCCTGTCATTATCTGTAAGTACTGCCAGTGGTTTAATTTGGGAAAACCAATGTATCACGGAACAGGCCAATTGTTTGTCCTGCAGCTTTTTTAATGTTTCATTTCAAGGCATGAAACTTAATTTAAATTTACTGTATTTGAAGTACATTTTGGCCATTGAGCGTAAGGACCAAATGGCAAAAAGATTGCTGGTGTACCAGGAAGGATTGAAAGGCAGCGGGTTCTGGATGGCAGGCGGAATTGCGAGTCTCCAGGTGTAGGCAGGCAGCTGAAGCTTCTGTGCACCAGAATTCAGATGAAGAAAGGAAGGGTTTTGTGCTCATCCCTGCTGCACTGATGTGTTCCCACCCACACAGATCATACAGCCAATTACTGGTTTTGGCTGAAAGGCCTCAGTCTTGTGTCGTGGTGTCAGGGGTATGACTGACCTGGTTAAATATCAGTGCTGTGTTTTCTGTGTTTTTATGAATTTTTAATTGCTGAAGTTGTCTTGGCCTTCCCAGGGCATGGAGGTGGCAGATGCATCAGAGTGAAGTGGAGGAGATACTCCAGGTCTCTGTCTGCCGTGTTACAGGATGTCAGCGTGGCCTGCCCTATTGCCACCCATGCCTTTGCAGCAAAAACTCTGGTGCTGTTCTAGTGCATCCCCTCTGAACAATATTGCCTCCTCTCCCTGAACAGAGATAGCAATAAAATGTGAGTTTGTTTCTTGCTGTTGTTTTCAAAGAGCATCTCCTCTGCTTCCTCTTGAAAGAACTCCCGCTGGTCATCTTAAATTTTTCAGGTTTTACCTGGATCCAGAGACCTCATGTAACCTGATGATGTAGCAGATGAGGCTGTGATACCATGCTACTTCATTGTTTCTTTGACCAATGAATTTTGTATCTGAAAAATGGACTAGAAACCAACATCTTCTAGTGCAGATTGCCTCTTGCTTCTGTGTAACCTCTGTATTTGTTTGTTGTTCAGAAATGGCAAATCAAGTTGGGGTAAAAACTGAATATTATTGGAAAATACATGCTGCACAGCTTCATCTTTTCTTGTGACTTGACTTTCTCATGTGAAGTTTGAGGTGATGCCTCTGTGCAGTTTATGCACCACACCATTTTTCTACTTAGCACAGTAATGTAGGTTGTAGGACACTCAGATACTGTGAGTGTGAATGTGGGATGGAACTTAATTCCCAGAGCAATGATTTTGCAGTCTTTTCTGTTTTGCAAGTGTTTAAACTTTTTTTGAAGGCAATGTGGATCACAAAATGGCAAAGATAAACTTAGTGGTAATGAAGCTGATTTTCAAAGAAATTTGTGAAAGATAACTAAGAAATAATTGAACCAAAAGCTTAGGAACCTACACATAGCGAGAAATCATCAGTGAGAAGGCAGAGCGTGTGACTGTGGAAGCTTAACTGGTGTTTTCTGTGGTTATGTGCCTTGCAATGCAGCTACTCTTTTGACAGTACCTTTTCTAAGCATTTTTTAAGATACTTGTTTTCCATTGGTTTTGAGCAGTAAATGAATCTTCTTCAATGCTGCTGAATGAGGGTTAGGAGTGCCCAGACCTCCCAGTGCTTTTCACTTCCGCTGTGGTGTTTGTTGCACAAATATTTTAGCAATACAGCTCATTTTATTAACTGCAGTAGAAAAAGATTGTTACTTCAATTTCCTAATGAAAAACTAAGTGACAGTTTTTCTGAATTTAGGTACTTCAGGTGCTGAAGGAAAAGATTTCTTTGCTCCCTGACAGCCACAGGGATGCTTTAGCAGCTGACATTGATTCAATCATGTACACAACAGAAGGAGATGTTCGCATTTACTATGATGATGATGGTATGTTTAGAATCCTAAAACGTTTCAGCAATGAGCAGTTTTATTTCCTGGTGTCCCACTAAGCAGGTGTTTTCCTTGCAGATGTGTTTTTGAGTACTGTTTCCCTTTCCTTGTTTTTTTGTTTGTAGCTCATCTGTATGTAATTTCTTGATTTCCTTTTAAACCAGAAACAAGAGTTTATTTTTAATATGTCATGGTACTGTTTGTTTAGGTTTTGCTTATTCCTCTTCTTTTGTACAGAATTTTATGTTGTTAGTCCTCAGCAATCTGAAACCACTCAAAAACAATTTTTCTACTATATACTGAAAGCTGTTTGCTTCAACAACGAAAATACATCCTCCAAGAAGAATAGTGAAGGCTGGATAATGAAATCAATTTTGCTGTTCTAGTCTTTTTTTCATATAATGTATTTTGTTCTATGGCTCCCTGACTGTTTCTATTAAGCTAGTGATGAGCTCAAACAAGTTTTTCTTTTGGTTGGATACCAACATTAAGTGTTCTGTTCCTTATCAGACACAGTTGAGATTATTTGTATTCTAACCATGGGGCTTCCATTGAGCACTTCAAGTTGAAATCAAAAGTCAGACCCAATGAGCTTTTTTACTGATTTGGGAGATAGGCATTATTATTTTCCTCTTAGATTGTTCCTGAGTTTGTACTACTCTATGTACTTTTGCCATATCAGTAGTTAGTTCTGGACCTTGTGGGAACCAGCTTTTTGTCATACAATTTCATAATATACAATGTCACACCACACTCATGCTAAAATACATACTTTTCTAGTGAGTATTTTTATTGTTGCCAAACAGCATGAATATGGCACTAAATAGCTTTATCACTTATTATTCTATCCTGTATTCTTTATGGCTGAAGTCAGCTGCCCTTCTAGAGTCTCACTAGAATATATGCTAGGTAGCAAATAGGAGTATTTGACGAATGAGAAACATGAGATCTAACTCGTGCTTTGATTTATTTCCAACAGGAAGAAAGTTTGTTAGCATCCTGATGTGTTTCTGGTATCTGAATGGTGCTAATCTACCTGATGAAGTACCAGGTGGAGCCAAAGTTTTTCAGATTGTGTTTGGAGATGAAAGCACAAAAGAAAAAAAACATCTTTTAACAGCAAACTATGAGTAAGTTTACTTGTCCTTTTTTTTCCCCCACGTACGTGTGCTGGCTGTGTGGTAAGCAGTTGGGGAACTGTAGGCATTCACACTGTGCCAGTGCAGAACCTGGTGTGGTTTAATTTACCTTGATTCTAAAGTAAGTTCATTCTCATCAAGCTTTCCAGTTTTGATTTTAGGGCCAAATTTTTTAAATACCCCTCAAAGCCATTATGTTATTACCTTGTTTCTGAGTTGACATTAATGGGAACTCTTTCTCTATCAGGAAGAGAAGTATTTGGAGCATTGAGTGAGGTTTCCGATCCTTTCCTATGCTGCTCCTGCAGCTTTCAGGAAATAGGCCAGTTCTTGTTTTGCATTTCTTGTAGCTCAGCTAACAGCAGTGCAGTCAAGCCAAGCAGTAAAGTGTAGTGCTGTCGACTTGTCACTTCCCCACAGAAGTCAGAACTGCAATTAGCTGAAAAAGTAGCTCATGAAAGAGGAAATTATTTAGCCAAATACTTTCTGCAGAAAGGCAGAACAAAGGAAGCATCACCTGGTATTCAAATAATTCATGCCACTGATCCAAGCCTTCAAAGCACACATTAGGTAGATGGATTTTTCACAGGAATGCTTGTAAGTAATGTCTGTGTTGGTGTACTGATGTCAGAGCAGTGCAGAAAATATATGCACAGTTGGCAAAATGTACTGAAAATAAGATTCTCAGAAGTTGGGAGAAGCGACGATTTTTGTGTGAGAAATGCAATATGGTCAATGATTTACTCCCACATTTGAAATTGAAAGTATGGGGTCTACTTGATGAGGAGCTCTGAAGCAAAGGCAACACTCATGAGGACACCAATGCTTTTTGCCTGAATGGATTTTTGTGGATCCATCCCTTAGCTGAATTCAGCATCTTCCTTAGAGTTAGAGGCTTCTGAGGTTCTATTAACCTTAAGAGCCTTCCCTTAAAGCCTAAATATCTTCCCAATCCCCAGCAGAGAGATCTTTGCAAGTATGTGTTCCTTAACCTAAACACAAATGGGCAGAGACACTACAGGCCTTGGAAGCCCAGTGTTAAGTATTTGGATGTCTGAAGAAGACAGTTTGCAGGCGTGGATTTGCATGTAATTGTGAAGCAATGATGTTATACTGCTCTTGTCTGTGATGTGCAAGTTATTTAGGAGCATGAATATTCAGCTTGAAGCTTAGGCTTATCTTTAGATGACAAGCAGTCAAAGCTGACATGCTCAGAGAGGAAGTCATTAATGACTACAAAAGGCAGAAGACGACTTTAAAAATAGGAGTGGATATTTTCATTTTCTTGTTGACAACTCTGGAGTTTTCTTTCAGGGAGATTCAGTGCTACTGTTAACTTGACCTTTGATGTAGTTCTCAAAATACATTACTTTTTAGAGTATAGTTCAGTAAAAATGAAAATTTTCAAGTAGAATGTGTAGCATGTGATTTCCTTTCTCAATGCAATTACCATCCCATTAAATGAAACTATTGGCAAATGAAGATCTGCCACAAAGCTTTATTCATAGTTACTGCTGTGAAAACCCTTGATATCTGGGCCTCTGCTGTGGCTGATCCTGTATGTGGGATCTGAACCAGAACACTCTGAAGTCAGTGATTTTGTTTCTTGTCATAGAAATAATTTTAATCTTCCATTTTGGGGAGTAAGCACTAGAGTCTAAGTAGCTGTTACAGGAATAACTCTGAAGTAAAATCTTTTGTCATGATTTCTTGCTGTATTAGTAGCTCTATAAGATTAGTAAGTTTTAACAGCCCTTCATTTACTTTCTTTCCTTTTCCAGGTTCCAAAGAGAATTTACAGAAGGAGCAAAACCAGACTGGACAATTACACGGATTGAACATCCAAGGCTATTAGAATAAATGCTTTCTACAGCCTTTTTATGTAAATGTTCTGATGTAACAAATATCAGGGGGTTTGGGGTCTCTTTTTTTCCTTTCTTGCCCTTTCCTCCAAAAGATAGATGAATTTTGTATGTTTGATTCTCAAAAATTTTTTCTGAAACATTCATTGTGCTGCAGTATTCCAATAAAGCCTTTTCCCTGGTACAGGCTAGTACAAATTTAATTGGCTCCAATGCTCATCCAAGACATTTAGGCAGAGCAGTTTCACCCTGGCAGGCGTTATGGGTATGTTGACTTACATTCTGAGAAGAGATGGTACTGTTTGAAGATAAACAATGCTTTAATGGCTGATGGCCCTTCTGAGTTACTTTCCTATGTTTCTTTTTTCCCTTAGGGACTGTACAATATATAACTGAATAATATGCAAGATGAAATAGAGGTAGATGGACTTCTTAGATTGTCTAGCCTCAGCAGTTCATTTTGAGGTAATCTTGCTTTTGAATATGTTTTGAGATTAAGAAAGTTAGAGCCATTATCAGTATTTGCTACAGGATTGGAGTAAAAAAAAAGCTTCTAGCATTGCACTGGGAAAATACAACCAAGAGATATGTGTTTTGAAAAATTAAAAAAAAAACATTCAATTCAATAACATATAGGTGATTCCAAGTTTAGAGGTTTATGAAAGAAAAATCAGTTAAACCCATGAATTTAAGAGAGGACCTGAGAGTTAAGGTAAATGAAGTCCTCTGTTTGAAATGCGTGTTAAAGAAATGAACAAATCCTTAAAATTAGATGTTGCAACTGAACAACTCAGTTTATCTCTGGTTTCTGGAACACGAGAATCCTGGTGTAAGTAGCTTGAGGCTTTTTTATGTGAATCAACAGGAGAACATTGTAACAGGTTTCTTCATCCCTTATATCAACTTCAAATATAAAGCTAACTTTCTACACAGGTATGCTGTAGATATTAGTGTAGTGTTTTGAAAGTATAAAGTATAATTACTGTGATTCACAGTAGTTGTGATTGAAAGGTATAAATTAAATTTTCCATAGTTCAGCTCTTTTGATCCAGATCCATTTAAATCTTATCAAAAAGTTTTTAATGTCAAATCTTGGAAAAATAATTATGCTACTTTGTTCTGCCTTAGCAGCAGCAGACTGGCCTTATAATGCAGAATTTGTGATTTGTCCTCTGGACAAAGTTCACTGATGACAGAGTGCCTTGTCCTCAGGGGAGGAGCAGAATTCTGTATATATAGCCATTGTGTTTGCAGTCAGCCTGGAAAAGTTTGAGACAAAGCAAAAAATGTTTATTATTCTGTGGGCCATTTGCTCCATGGTGGGATGTCCAGTTTGGCCACTGAATAATGTGCTGCAAGAAGCTGCAATCAGACTTACTTGGGTCTGTAACAGACCCAAATAACAAGTAACAAGAGACAAAGCAGAACACTAGTGAAATGTGCAGATGCACTTTTGAAAGAAGTCATTATGATGGAGCAAAATAAGAAAAAAAGCCACTGAAGCAGTCTTTATATTCAGGAGTGTCTGCTTTTGTCTTTAAATAACATAGATCTATTCAGAAATACTGGTATATCTTAGATTTTAATTCAGGTTGCTTTATTAGTGTCTTTTTTGTGTGATTGGATGTATCAAAATGAGAGTCTCTGTCATGACTGATGAAGAATTACCCTTTTACTACTGAGTGCTCCATTTTTGGTTGCAAAGGCAAAGTAGACCCTTCTGTATGACTGATAATGAAATTTGTTTGTTTTGTTCACTATAAAATTGTGACTTGATAGAAACATGCTCCAAGTTGATAACACAGTTTTGCTGCAGAAGATGTAACTGAAAATTTACATGCACTGCTTTATTATTTTGAAGTTGTGTATCTTGTGCATCGGGGCCAGAGAGGGCAGCGCTTGGATGTTTGTGGGTTTTTCCACCTCTGAGCTTCATCTAGAAAATAGTCCTGGAGACTGCAAATCTCCATCAGATCCAGAACTACTTGTGGCCTTATTGCACTGTAAATGAATCAGAAAGGCACATAAATTACTAAGCTTACTGTATTGGAAAGTGATCTTCTCCCACAGTGAATAAAACTGGTGGAATCAAACTGAATTTAGAGTCTAATACTGGTTTCAGAAGAAAAAATGCCACCATCACTCCACCCCAAAAAACCACCACATACTACCCCAAACCCAACTTGTAAGTAACAAACAAATGTACAGCTTGGAGGACATTGAAGTTTATAGGAAGGTTTGACTCCTTTTTACCTGCCATCCATAAATTCTGTGTCCTAAGTGTGATCTTCATAGCAATTAATCAGACTGAAGTGGATGTCCCTGAAGGGCTATTGTCATCTTATGGCATCCGTGTTTTCTCTCATGGAAGGACTTTTCTTCTGTGTTGTCTGTTCAGGCAAAACGGGAACTTCTGGTTTCCATGTTGCCATCCAAAAGTAGCAATAAAAAATGTATTTAGTTTCTTCAAGTGAATATATTTCTATATGCTGTCAAGGCTGTCCCAAATTCCTATGGCAAAAGGGATGAATAAAAGGTTAAGTTTGCTTCATCTCAGTCTAGACAAAGATAGAGAGAATATTGTCTTGTAATTTTGGGATTTCCAGTCCTGCCATTCAAACACTTTACCCTAAAAATCATAATGATAACTTTAATGTTCAGAATTATAAAAATGAACTAAAGGAATTGTTTCATGATTTGGGAATAATGATGCCCAGCAGGGAACAGTAGAATGGTGTGGAGATCCCAGATTTTCCTATTATTTGTCTCAGACATCACCTGGGAAATCACAGTGTTTAAGGATTTATGTGTGCCTGATTTCCCTCTCATCTCATTGCCTCGCTTGCATTTCTGTTGCTTTATGTGGGAGGACAAGTACAATTGTAATTATGGTGTGTAGCCTGTAAATCCCCATACATGACCATCTAAAATATTTGCAGTTTTAGCCCACAAATGTCTTCATTCAGACCCCATTAATTCTTGAAAACAGTGTTACCAGGCTTGGTAGTGATTTTTAAGGTAAAATTCATATCTGTTAGCAACACTGATATTTCTCATTCATTTTACACAGAACTGTAAGGTCACACAAGGTGTCTGGACTGCACTTCAACTGGGGATGGAAATTCAAAGTACCACATTCTTCTCCCCTGTGAGAAATCATGTTTGTTTAGGTTCATGTGGAGCTTGGGAAGCCTTAATTTTTTATTTGTTCATCTGAAACTGTGGTCATGTTTAATGATTCCTGACAGCTGCCTAGCACAATTTCAATGCATGTGCCTAAATCTTAACAAGCACTAATTAAATCCGGCCAACAAAATCCCTGTTAATTTGCACACCCCACTCACCAGTAGATGGCCTTGGCCACAAAGCAATTGTGGCTGGAAAGAGACTGGCATTAATGAGAGTGCTAGCGAGGTAAAAAATAAAATGGTAGAGACATTGAGTGCTATTTAAATTATTTAGACTTGTCTTACTGAAAAGTCTTGATATTTTTACTGGCTTTCATCCTGACTCAACGATAGTGTCTTGTGTTCTCTCTGCAGCGCCTGCCCATTTTAAAGTGGCAATTTATCAGTGTTCTTAATAAAGATTCATTGTCTGTGTGAATTCACACAGGCACCTCAGTGCCTGACAGTAGCAAAGCTTATTTTGATATTCATATTTTAAAATATATTTATCATGTTGATTTTGATTCCTTTCTCTCCTGTCCCAGCATTGCCTGATTACTTCAGGGGGCACATTCAGCTTTTTCCAGGGTTTAAGGTGTGTTCAAGCTTGACCTTACCATCACTTCAGGTTATATTTAGTAGTAAAAGTTGTGTTTGTCACAGTAGCGATCATCCTCCTTCAAAACTTCACAACTCCTGGGGTTTTTTTTTGTCCTGTGGTTAAACTTGATCTCTGTCCTGTGTGCTTCATTGGCTGCCTTTGAGATTCCTTGCAGGCTGTAGTCACATGATGGCTCACAGCTTAAAATAAGGTGGGATACAAGTGTGTATAGTGGGAAGTGTTTCTAGTTTCATTCTTCCCTCCTCCATGGGTGTGATAGTTGATCTCTAAGCACTGGACCAGGTGTGGCCACAGGAAGAGGTATTTAGCGGTTAAAAAAGAAAGCATTGGCTACACAGCTGTGCTTTTGTTCTTCTAAGGGAAAGGCAGCTGGGGCAAATGGAGTTGCACAGTGAGTCATAGGGGTTCCCCTCCTTGTCTTTTATCTTCATTTTCCATTGCTAATGTGCTAGTCTTTTGGATTTTTACAGTCCTGCCATTTAGGATGGAGGTTAAGTAAGTCTTATGTGAATCTACGGCACTGTTGAAAACACCCCGTTAATCACAGTGCTTTCTCTCAGGTGTATTTTGTCTGATTTCAGTGATGTGTCCTTTTCCTGAAATATGGTTCTCCTATTGAAGTTGATAAGGAAACTGTCATGCATTTTAATGGGAGCAGACTGCAACTTTTTTGCTGCCTTTGAAGTTACCCCATCAGAAATAGAGGGAAGCTAAAATTAGACATGCTGTAGCTTCTTGAGTGCCATTTCATCCCTCCTGTGGCTGTCACAGAACAAGGCTTTTGATAGTGAGCTTGGTACTGTAGTGCTAAGGGAGGCACTAAGATGGAAAGGAGCAGGACAGCAAAGCAAAGTGCAGAGAAGATGTCATTTCACCAAGGATGCAGCTCTTTGCCTTAAGGACATGGGTTGTTTGGAAACAAGTGGTGATGTGACTTGAATGTTCCTCTAAACTATATTTTGCAGTTGACAGTAACCTTTTACATAAAACACTACTTCTGCTCAGGTTTGTGTATGGGGAAAAAAATCTGAGTTTCCAGGATTAGAAGTGAAGTCCCACCTTAAGTTTGCAGAGATTTCATAATCTGACTGGGGAGGGATGGAAGAGGCTGCCTGGGTAAATCAGAGCAACTAACAGGCTGTTTCTGTCTTACACTAATTAGCAACTGGCACATCCCTAGAAATTGGGAATGAAAAAAGGGGAGGGGGAAATGCCTTGATAGTCCCTCTCTTCTGAACTTTCTGGAACCACTTGGCAAGTGCAGCATCCATAATGTAAGTCCCAGCTGCCAAGTCTGGGAGCAGAAGTTTCAGTGGTGCAATTAGATTAAGTGGGTCCCTTGTTGCAGCCCAGGATCTGTCAGGACATCGGTTTCTGTGCTTGCTGGTGGTGTTGATGTTGTTTGAGGACCTTCATGTTTCTTATCTGCAGTACAGCCAAACAAGGTCATTACAAGTGATGTTATTTTTTTGTAATGTTTGTTTCGTGAGAACTGATAAATATAAATAATGCTTTTGGGGGATATTTTTTATATACTTTTGGAGGGAACAAGATTGAGGGTCTGCAATATAAAGTGACACACAAGCTCGTGAAAATGAATTTTTGTAGTCTAGAACTCATGTCATGCAAGATGTTGACCACTTAAACTTCTACCCTAATCATACCAGCAGTGATAAGATCTTCACCTAAGTCATGAAGAGGTCTCCTTGGATTGGCAGCTGCCTGAAATCTCTCATTTCTGTGTGCTTGAAGTACATATATTATTAAAATCTGTAATGAGCTTAGTCACATACTTTGTCCTTTTTAATTATCAGTGGGGTCATTGTCCCTTAGGTCTACCTCAGGCTCAGCTCCCTATAGCAGAATCTTCTGAGCTGTTAGCATGTTTCCTACTTTTTTGTCATTAGTGTCATTTAGTCACTTTTTTTTTCTGAGATAAGAGGTGCTTTTCATAAGGTAGAACAATAGAGGGATTGCTGATCCTCTGGGTGTGGTGTGCCTTGTTGGTTGGCATAGGAATCCTTTATGGACTTTCTGCTGAGGTGTGCTCTCAGAAGGCATCGTTTCTGCTGTTACAGTTCAGTCTCTGTGTGATTTCCATCTTTCTTACCAGCCCTCTGTCTAAGAAAGTAGTAAAACATTGGTACGAGTACTTGGAAAGATGGTAGAATTATCTTTGCTTGAATTGTAAACTATTAGGTGGTGTATCTACTTAAAAGTTTCAGAAGCAAATCTACAGATCATATGCTGAGTCTGAATTTGTATCACCTGCATTAAAACAGTAATTATAAGAAAATCTTAGGCAGCATGATTTCTTCTGTGAGTAAGGGAGGGCTTTTTCTGTTGTTCACGTTGTTCTGTGGTGGTTTTGTTTGTATTTTGGTTTTTTATTCTATCTTAAACACCAGCAGTTAGTCAAGGATAAAGAAAGTGTTCCATTGCTAAGAGATAGTATAGACATCTAAGGAAAAAATGGGTTCTTCATCTGGGTGGTCATCTTTGCATATTTCATGTTCTACTTTCAGATTCTGTGTTGGAAAGAAGTGAATTTTTTAATGCCAAATTGGTAATGTTTGCTGACTTTCTCTACTGCAGGGGCTGTTGTTTCCTGATGGAATCATTTGCATGTATTTTGCCCAGTTTTCTGCCAGTACAGCTCGTGCTCCAGGGTCTCCTGCAGTGTACAATTTAATCTCTTACTTTCATTTCACTGAAGTATATAGGTTTCAGCAGGGGTAGCTGGGTGAAGGTTAGTGCCCGCATTATACTGGAGATCTGCTTAAGTGATCTAATGGCTCCTTCTGGCAAACTGTGAAATTATAATAGCAGAAGTAGGGAGAGGAAGGGGATCAAAGGTGGATGGTAATGCAAGATTCGTGTAAAGAGAAAGCTGTATGTATTCTGTCTCTAGAGCAGAAGTTGTAACAGTCCTGAAATGAAAATAAGTTTAGAAAAACTGAGAAAAATAAAAACATGGTGAGAAAGTCAGTGTTCTGACTGGATGTTGTTCTCTCAGCTAAAAAGGCCGGAAACTTCCCTCAAAACTGAGGCCAGGAGAATTTCTTGTAGGATTCTGAGGTGGTGTCCTGGTTATCAGGAAGAAGCGAAGTCTAGAGGATTTACAGTGACTTGCCTCTGTTGTGAGGGAGATCTTCAGAACACTTTATGAAGTGAAGACGTGTGCTGAAGCCTTCATTTGCAAGAACCCGGGATTACTTCTCTCTAACAGTAATCAGTACCTTCTCATGAGAGTGTCTGATATGTTCGGTCTGCAGTCAAATGGCCTTTGGGCTTTTCTATTTATTTACTATCACACAACTCTCTCCTAGCCTTCTGACAGATCTAGCAGTGGCTATTTGAGGAGAGTAGCTGGTGATACAGATGCATTTATCCCACTGGAGTCTCAGAATCTTCTGGTTGTCTTTCCTCAAAACTCTAGGTGTCTCTAAAAGCCTGACCAGAGCTGAGCACGCTGCTGCAGATGAGCCTGCTATATTTATCTGGTGTTGAAATAATTTCCTCTAATTTCATACTTATATTTATGAATTCTCAAGGTTAATTTGCAGGATCTTATTTCTCCTGTTAAGCACAGTACCAGAGCACACTTGACATTTCTCCCAAGCATTATTTTCTGACCGTGTGTGTGACCAGTAGGGATTTCTTTCCTTGTTTCATTTGAGTTTTTTGTCTAATCACACATTGCCAACATAGTGAAAAACATAGTCTGTTTTTCCCTTGTTTTTAACCTTGTGTGTTCCTAGTCTTTCTTTTATATTCGGTATCCTCTTCCCTTCTTTCTTGTTCATTTTGCTTTCTTTATGGTGCATTATGTGATTATTTCTTTCATCCTGTGCCTAGAAAAAAGATAAAATCTGTGTTTCAAAGATTATGCCCAAAGCTACTTAAAGGAAAAAAAAAAGTTTGCTGCTTCAGACATTCAAAAAATGCCAGAGGAAGGCCAGCATTAGTTTCCTGTACTCAGATTTTCGTGAGCTCTTATCTTGCTGCCTGTCTGCATGTCTCTGCTGGGACAGGCACAGCTGTGTCCCTTGAAGTCAAGGCCTGTCTAGATGCAAGTGATTCTGAAAATTGACCAGTGTTCATATCACAGTGTGTACCCCGTCCTACACACATCTCTAGTCATATTCTTATGTAAATCGATACCCTAACTCTCAACACAGTTTATTTGATACGTAAAATTTCTGTGTCTGTTCAAGCACTGAAGCACTAATTCAGCCAATTGTTTGAGCACAAAAGACCTAATTGTTTGCTTTAGCTTCCCAGCTGCTTGACTAAGACAGTGCCCCTGTAACTTATATTTACATGATCTTTCCTTATTGCTTAAATTTTTCTTGAACTTTCACTAGACATTTACTTAAAGAACCCTCCCTGTACCATTTGCCTGTAGAATGAGCTACAAAACAAAGAGGACTTTGAAAGGATTCATTTAGATACATAGTGTTGCTTGCTTGCTTCTTAGCTGGTTTGCTGGGCTTTGTGGTTTGTGAGAGCTGTTGTGGGGGAGTTTTGAATTGCTTTCTCATCTCTCTTAATTTCTTGTTTGCATTCACAACAGGCTGCCTGTTTTAGTAGTCTTCTATATTTCTCCCCAGTGGACTATATTTCCTGTTTTCTTTGTGAACAGCACCATATGTAATTGCTTTACCATTCTTGCTTTCTTCCTGAATGATTTGGGAACTATTTTGGAGCTTTTATCCAGATATACATCCCACTCCCAAGTGTATGAGCTCTTTATGTTCCCAAGTTAGTCCTGAAGAAGACTGTTTTGAAATCCACATACGCACTTTAACATATTTTGTTTTTACTCGCCTGC